TATAAAGTATTATTAAAGTTTAATCATCTCATAACAATAAAAATACTATTATAAAAAATTTTAAATAAGACGGATAATTAAAGTTGGGTACAGAAACTTATGGTTGCACATAAAATAGGACAGAGAGACCCAAAATAAGCGTCGTCATGGGTTTCTGTGTCCAAATTTGATCGTCCGTCTTATTTTAATTTTTTTTATGATTAGTATTTTTATCGTTATTAGATTATAAAACATGATTACAATAATCATAAGCTGAAACAAACAGGGCCTAAGTCTATTCGTTATTTATGCATTGTAGTAAATGGACATTGATACATGCATCCATGCACACAACTATTTACAACCCACATGCAATATCTTGATTTGCTATTGGCTAGGAAATATTGAGGATGGTGCATGCATTGAATTTGTTGCTAAAGTAAATATAGTATAAGAGAGTTATTAGCTTTCTTGGTCTTAGTGTACTTATGAAATATGTAGATCAATTTGGAATGGAGGGAGTATCATTTAGTTACTTCAGCTGTTAAATTTTAAATTTCTAATTGCTTGAATTCCCTTTACAACAATCTAATTGGTTTTGGAATCATTGTAATGATTGGAATCATAGAAATCAGTAAAAGGTGTTTATATTGTGATATAAAATTTAAATTCTAAAAGTCTTTATAGTTTGGATTAGAGGGAGTAGCACTTATCACTGCTAACTATAGTTACTTCAATTTTGATCACTAATATTTTTAAATGGTTAGATTACAATGTATGAAAAATTAATAATTATGTTTAGGATATACTCTCTCTGTTCATGAATTCCTAAATATAAACATTTCTAGATTGCTAAGTAACTAGCAGTATGCTTGTGCTTTGCAACTGGCTAAACCCATAAAGTTAGGGATTGGCTGGGTAGGTGAGCGGATTGAGGGTAAAGCATACCTGTATAATTGGAGATTAGTTTGGTGGGTGGATTGAGGAGAAAGTACCCTAGCGGATCAATTTGTGCACATGGTGAGAAGGGCACGGAAGTAGGATGACGACGTTTTTAAAGAGAGATGAAAGGATAACAATTGCGATTATAAAATAGTAGATATAAAGTAAAGAAAAAAATCCCTTTTAGTCAATTTATTGGTTAAATTTTGAATTTTAAATTGATTAGATTTTCATTTAAATTTCAAGTTGCTTATATTTTCCTTCTAAGCATTGGTTTGGCTGAAAACGCTTGCATTTCCGTACATTAGTCCCAGGTATATGTTTTTACTTTCTCCGTCCTAAAATATAAAAGATTTTAGAGGGATGTGACATATTCTAGTAGTATAAATTCTGGGTATGCTTTTACTCTCTTCATCCTAAAATATAAGAGATTTTATAGGGATGTGATATATTCTAGTAGTATAAATATGGACAGATTGTCACACTGAGATAAGTGGTTAAAGTTTATCCAAAGTATCTCGGCTTGGTGCCAGACTGCTAGTAATCTCGTCTTGCTCCAAGCTGACTATGAGATTTATAGGTTTCTCGCGTTAGACGAAACTGGATATAGCTAGATGTTGTATCATTTGTTGTACTAAAGATATTGTATATTCACACCGTTCTAAAAAAACTTAACTTAATAGGATGTGATCAATCTTAGGATAACGAATATGAACAAAAACAAGATACTCCCTCCGTTTCAATATATAGCAACCTAGGATGGGTCCAATCTTATCTTAGTCATAGATTCGTAGTCTTAGGATGGGTCTAATTCTATCTTAGTTTGCTACATATTAGGACGGGGTGGTACGATATATTATAGGGCAACGAATCTGTTGACATGTTTTTTTGACAACACAAGATCACCTAATGATTTATGGTGTAATCAACAGTTACTAAAATCGAAAGATCAAAACCGGCCAACTAAACCGACTTTGAGATTAATTCACCTTCGTAAAATCACATGACTAATTTATAAAATCTAAATAATTTTTATTCAGATTCATTGTCTTATAATAGATCATATCTCTAATACCGATTTCTGGGTCCAGATTCTTGTTTTTCATTGGACCACGTGGCACCCTACAAATTTGGTTAGGGCTCACTGAAAAACTGCCATGTGTGATGCGTGAAGTATCCGGATTGAAAGAGATCGGGAAAAAAAACGTAAACGTTTGCCTACGTGCGTGTGCGGGGTGGGCTTTGCATCTAGCTAGGTTGTGCGACCTTGGGCCTGGGCCTGGGCCTGTCCCTGGCGCCCCACGGCCTTTTCGCAATATGTACCGCAGTCTGCAGTACTGGTGCATGGCCTCTTCACGCAACGCTAAGCACGTTCGTTCAAAAGAAAAGGGAAGAAAAACAGCATGAAGGACTAAAGTGTACAGAGCCAGTATAGAACAAAATAATAGTAATAAAAAGAAAAGGAGAAAAAAAGAAAATAATAGGATTATGCAATCAACTACAATTACTCGGAATGAGGGAAAGTAACTTCATGTTAGCATCATGTGTTTCTAGAAAATTAGAAAAAAATAGTGAAATTAAATGGAAAAAAAATATAGCAGCAACAAGAATTGCGTTAGGACAACCGAAAGTCTCTAGATAAATACAATCTAGAATGTTTACTTCAAACGAGGAAAATTAATACCTAAATTTCTATAGAATGGTAAGAATAAAAAGTGAAATTAGATGAACAGATATGTATTCTCTGTTAACCGACAAATTCAGAACTACTTTCCTATTAATTCGGAGCATTTTGTTTTTCTTTTTTAATCATCACATTATACTTTTTCTAGATACTAGGAATCCATTTATTTTGGAACATGGGTAAGTAACGACAATAATTTTGCTATATTTTTTGTTTGTGAAACTCAATATAGTTATAGATGCTTATATGCACGTGCGAATATTACTCACTCCTATAAATATACACACGGGCACCTTTTAAGACTGGGCTGTCAGGCATATATTTGAATTGATAAAGATTGGTAGGTTGCCTATCATTAAAACAACAAATAGTCGTAAAATGTAAGAACTCGTACTAAGTCTATGACCTAAACCCATATAGGCACGGAACCTAACCAGCTGAGCTGCATTAGAATAACTGGATATATGAAATCAAGATAAGTATGTTTACCATGTCGATGTCCCTTGCTCTAAATAAAACCAGTATAAATAACCGAAGACACATTTATTTCATAAATGTATTTCGGACTAATTATACAAAGAGCAATGCTACATGTACTAAATTTTTCTTGCTAAACTTTTACTAACAATCATCTCAACCGTTTGATTTAAGTAGATGAAAGTTATAATAATCTAGATGCACTCATATCATGACGTGTTAGTAAGAAAAAGTTAGTATGTATAGCCTTTTCCTTACACAAACTATATGACTTGCAAGTTTATAACAATCACGTTGAATATTAATAAAAACACATTTTTTTCACTAATATATAGAGACGCCTTCGGCTCGGGCGCCCGATAGGAGAAGATTAAAATCGGGCGCTGACGTCAGCGTCCGATTTATGTGTAAAACTATTTTAAACTGTTTTTTCTCTTAAATTACTTATCTAAATCATGATCCGATTGCACCATTAAATTCGTTGCAATTAAATCTTCAAAACAAGACCACACATGAATATATTTCGACGAAAAAAATTAGCTTATTATTGAATTATTTTTAAATGTTGCACGATGTTCCACCAGGTATATCGGAATTGTTTCACTAAGTAGATCGAAAATGTTTCACTCGTTTAAATTAGGTGTTGTTTCACCTTATATAAAAACAATGTTTCAGCAAATAGCGAAAGAATGTTTCAGTTCACTGCAACATTAGATCTATACATAGTGAAACGTTGTGAGTACACTAGGTGAAACATTTTTCGGTGGAACAAAAAATAAACCAAATTCCCTTAATAGGGGGTTTCCAAAATATGTGGGTTTTTTTTTGCAATGGAGTATTTCAGTTCACTACAACATTAGATCTATACATAGTGAAACATTGTGCGTACACTAGAAGAAACATTTTTTGTATAATAATAAATAAACCAAATTCCCTTAATAAAGAGTTTCCAAAATATGTGGGTTTTTATTGTTGCAAAAGAGTATTTTAATTCGCTGCAACATTAAATCTATAAATAGTGAAACATTAATACATTAGTTGAAACATCTTTTGTGAAAAAAAGAAGAGAGAAGTGGGTGGGTCTACAGGTGCGCACGTGGGGGGAGGGGCGCGCCCGATCCGGCTCCCCCGCGCCGGGCGACCAAAGGAATTCATTCCCGCTAATATATATAATCTTTAATCATTTCTTAACATTAAATATCCGTTCAGCATGAAAAGACCACAAATTAGGATAATTTTACTATTCTAACTTACTTTTACAAACATAAAATTTGAAAAAAAAACTTTAAATAATCATTTTGAACCTATTATTTCTAAAACAAAAATACACACATGCTATAAACTAGCTAGCGTGCTAACGGGCACGCTCATTTTCTAGTTCTAACTTAAATTGAGATTTTTTTAGGGACGGCGAGAGTACAGAACAGAGAAGCCCTGGCGTCGCAGAAGGTAGGTTGGCACTTGCCAGTCCAGGCCTGCACACCATTCTCGTACGATGTTACACATGGGAGAGATTGGAAGCAAGTTGCCAGGGATCGCAGCCCAAGAGGCCTAATATACGGCAAGAACGACTGGACCAGGCAGGTACCAGAGTTCCGGCCTCCGGCCACTCTGTCTCTGCTACTACTCTACTAGACCCTTTGTCTCAGGCTATAAGCATTTTTACTTCGAGATGCTATTTTAACCAACAATATTTATAAAAATAAGATGTTTTAAATAAAAAGAGTTACATATTATAATAATTTATTTAATGATAAATCTAGTAACATCAATTTTACATGATTGATCGTTTTTATTTTTTTTGCTATTAATGATCACTATATTAAAAATATTTATATTTTGAGTTATATTTTGAGACGGAGGGAGTACCTTAGTGCGATAGTGCGACTGTATCTGCCGCATCTAATCAACCACTTCATGATACCGTACTACTGATGAAAATAAATAGCGCACCGGAAACCTATTTCTATCAAAAAAGGCAAACTATCAGCTACTCCGTATTTTGTTCTTGCAAAGATTCAACAAGAACGCGACGCCCTGGTTTCACCCCTCTGTAGCCACAGACCCAAGAGGACATGCGAACCCGCAGTGCGACTATGCGAGCACCTTTACAACTGGCGCGCACTGTCAATCTGTCATGGTCATGGCCCCCCTAACATGTCAGTAACTAATCCTAGGCTACGCCTACACAGGGAGTAATCACCTATTGGGGGAGAATCAGTTCTGGAACAAGAACTTGAGATCAGCCTCTGTAAGCTTGGACATGGCCTCAGGTGAGTCGCCAACGGTGCTGCAAAGAGGTTTGGGGGGAGAAATGGTATCAGGAGAGGCATTCGCTGAAGACAGTTATCAGACAAGCACGGGAGATAATGCCTTGGTAATTGGGTGGAAAAGAGAATTTTTACCCTTCAAACACCAGTCGCTTCTTCTCTTGCAGCTGCAGTATACGCTCCTCAACGGTGTCCTTGATCACAAACCTCATGCTTCTGTATAGCGGAGTTCAAATGTAGGCAATGTCAGACAAAGAGCGGCATGGTTCATAAAAAAAACAGCTACTCCCGGTTTCATTTTAATTGACGTTTTGGACAATGAGACGGTCTACAAAATATATCTTTGACCTTATTTTTTTATTAGAATATATACAATAAATAAATGTGTGTTTGCTTTTATTATAATGCTTTGAAAGACAAATCTATATATGTTGTTCTAGTTTCTTTAAACTAAATATTTTTAAAGTTATTGATGATCAAAGTTATAAAAGTTTAACCTCAACCTTGTCCTAAACGTCAATTATTATAGAACCGGAGGGAGTACATCATATGAGCATAGAGCAAGGAAAAGCAAAATGTTACACTGCAATTGCACCTGATTGGCTTGAACTGCCCAATTCGGTGGATTCGATCCTGGGCCTGACTCTCGACTGCAGGATTCCACCAAGGGTCCATCAAGAAAACCTACATGGCATGTAATCTAGTCAGCAGTATGCACCAGTTCTGTTCCCACCTTTGTCAGGATCAGGAAGTTCAGAACTTATTGCTGTATATAAGTATAATAAATGGGGACGTTGCACTGAGCTTACATGTGATGCCACAGTGAGATTGAGAGCTACTCCTCCAGCTTTCAAGCTCATCAGAAAAATCCTGCAGTCTGGATCATTGGTGAAGGTATCTATAGCTTTCCCCTTCTCAACAATGTTCATTTTGCCATTAAGTTGCACGCACTTGATACCAGACTGTCAAAACATCTTGCACTATTACAATTGTCTAAACACAGAGCTGAAAAGCTTCACACCAATAAATGTTTTGCAGTGAATTACCTTCTGCAGGGAGAATTCAATCAAATCCAAGAATGATGTGAACTGGCTGAACACAATCCCTTTGGCGGAACCATCATGCTCAACCATGTTTCTTATCTCTTCTCTCTGTATGATGTAAATAAAATTAACAGTGACAAAAATTGGACAAGTATTAAATTACTTCTACAAGGTCTGCTCTTGAGGTAATACTCAAAAGCTGATCCAGTACAGCATTATGGAGCATTTCAGCTTTAGGTTGTGTTGGGAACTTTTCCCCTCGGCATGCAAAATGGAGCGGCAGATTAGTGTATGATTAATTAATTATTAGCTAAAAATACTTTAAAAAAGGGATTAATATATTTTTTAAAAACAACTTTCATATAGTAAATCTTTGCGAAAAAAAAACCCGCACCGTTTAGTAGTTTAGAAAATGTGCACACAGAAAACGAGGGAGTAGAAGTTGAGAAAATGTAGTGTAGAACACAGCCTAGTGGTGAGTGATCCAGGGAAAAAAAGGTTTTTGTAACCTTCAGTGAGTAATCTATACTTGCAAAAGTCTACCTACCAGGTTAACCAAAGTATTTTCATCATTAACATCACCATTAACATCATTATGTAACTCAATCAACAAAAACATGTAGGCCAAAAACTGGCAGTGAAAGTGAGACCAGTAGCAGGACTCGCATCCTAAAGTTCCTAAACCCCATTGCCCAGTTTGAATTCAAAAGGAATGCCCTACCAATGAATAGAGAAGTTTGGGCATAGGTTGATGATAAGCATCTTATCCTGCCAGAAGCAGGTCGGAGGTTTGAGCACCTGAAGATGCGTTTTTTTTTAAAAAAAAAAAACATTTCTGTTTTTTCTAATAAAAATCAAATTTCAATTGAAAGATAACTGGAAATCCTAGTAGTTTTTTTTTTTGGAACTTTTGAAACAAGATTTCAATCCCTGGTATCGACTATCAACATTAGAATGGTTAAATCGCAAAAAATATGATACGGGGTATTGGACAAGTTATGTTAAAGTTGATTTTTAGCACTACCAGGGCCAATAGGTATATACAACTTCCTGGCCATTAGGTGAATTCAAGATTTTGTATTCCCATGAGCTCTAAATCTAATAAACACATATAGGCCTTGTACCATGAGACCTAGCTACCTAATTTCCCTCCATTGATTTACTCTAGGAAGCATAAGAATCATGTAATATCCCATGTGGCTACTCCATTGAAACTTAATGGCTTGCAGGATTTCCCTAGATAACTTCTAGAAATACATTTAGCAGAATACGTTGATTTTGGTTTTCTTCCTTTAGGCACACATAGAAAGTATGGCAACATATACAATTGGAGCTGAAAACAACAAAATATGTTGACTTAGTTGTGCGACATACCAAGGCATCGATTTTTGTGCTTGTCTTAAAATCTGCAAGGTTTTGTAGTCTGCTTAATATTCCTGAGCGTTTGCCACCCTTCAAATTTGGAGTGACCTTTTCTCCAGAACTTCGTGTTGTTAGGTCGACAGTAAGGGGCACTGAACAAGATGGACATGAAACATTCCCCAAAGTTGCAGAGTAGTCTATCAAACAATTCTTGCAGAATACATGTTCACAAGAGGTAACCTTGACAAGAAATTCAGCACGTGAAAATCAGATTATAATAAGAAGGAAAGAAAGAACACAGATTGTGTTTATTTTTTAATTTTGGTTTTGAGTGCTAACCACAGCATCTTCTGTCATATCATGGCATATACCACACTGGCTTTCCATGTTCTCATTTCCTTCATTTTTACTTCTGTCACTGAGTTCTGCTGTCTTAGAAAATGCCACAAGATATGGATGATCAACAGCCTACAATTTGACAGGAACAAAATGAAAATACAATACTTTCTGGAGGAATAATAATTAAAGATGCAATTCTAGAGGAAATCAATAGCATGCATGTGACTGAGAAATTCTAAGAGAAACAAAAAATTTTGGGCACCCCACAATTGTTCTTCTAAAAGACTCACCTGTCTCAACCTTGTTAGGAGGTCAAAGATATGTGCATAGTTGTTCATCAGCGTCCCAGCATCAACATATCTGGAGAAAACAGTATATGCATACAACACCTTAAATGCTACTACTGTAACGGTCAAAATTGAAAAAAACATTTGCATCAGTACCTAACAAATGCAATTCTTTGTTCATCAAAACAAAAATACTTGCTACGGTACGAATTATATGGAATGGCACTAAGAGTGGAATTTCTAGTATATAGCATATCATACCTTTACTAACATTGGTGGTACTCATGCAAATTAAATTCAGAATTAATTATTAAATAGGTGGAATGAAACCTATAATATTGGTTCTTTGAGCTGATGGTTCCAAACATTTTGAGCTGTTAAGAGCCAGTCGAAACTAGAACATGTTCGTTGCTAAAAACAAATAGGCTATCCAGCTGTTGCAGCATCATACCACATAGCAACCACACAAAGTCTAATGAACAATTTGAAGAACTCACGAATCAAATTGCGTGCGACTCTGAGTATATAAAGCTTCGTAGAATTCCATTTCATTTTTATCGAAAGAGTCCCTCCTTAAGGTCACCTATCATGAAAAATTAAACGGCTCACAACTGGTACACACATGGAAAAACAGGCATAGCAGATATTCATGTATAGCAATGTTTTAAGATGTGCAAACTCACAATCTTTGGCGGGAGGGCAAGATCTGCAGCTCTTCCTTTTTTCGTGCGCCTTAACACTATGCCCTTCAGAACCTTTTCCTTTAGAAGAACCATGGCTCTTTTGCCTTCAAAACTTGCTGATCCAAATTGTATTGGTTTTGATATATACTATTGAAGATATGCATTCTGTCAGCAAGCCTGTTGCATGAACAAAAAAAAAATCGAACTAAGGTGGCATAACAAAAAACCTTTAACTGACCTTGTTCCACCAGCAAAAATGCCTGACAGATGAGTGACCACAATCACATTGTTTCTTTAGACTGTAAGAGATTAGAGGTATGGTCAGGTCCTCAATCGAAATGAATAAAAAAATCAATGGGATCATTGGATCAGTAGCAATTCATAACACACAACATGTCGCAAATTGCAACCTATTATCAACTAAGATATCTTAAGCTGAAACCAGTCATCTTTGTAATGTAATACAATCTATTTCTCAGGCGGTATTGCATCGCATCGAGCAGAAACTAAGTAATATGACTGCAGGAAAAATCTTTGTAGATAGTAATGTTGTCTTACAGGGTATCTAGTATCTCGCAGTTGCAGTCCTTGCAGAAATAGTTCGAGTAAGGAAATATTTGCAAAAAACGGATCTGAGAAAACAACAGTCAGCACACATAAGCTAGTATAAAGAAAATAGGCCAGGTATTTCAGATGTTTGTTGCAGACCAGCGAGTAGAGTTCTCCAACACGATTCTGCAAAGGTGTCCCACTCAGAGCCCACTTGTATTCCGATTCTAATGCAAAAATAGCCTTGGCTGTATTGCAACGTCTGTCTTTTATGAAGTGAGCCTGAAGAATACAATGGAAGGATTGAATCGTTAAAAAAGCAGGATAACATAACAAATCAAGATTCTCATCTAAAAAGACCCCAAAATAATGTGCTAAGAAGCAATCAAGCAAAATATATAACCTGGTCTTACTTATTCCATATCAAACTAAAACATGAATAAACTAAAAGCATTAAGTTAATATCAATCTAGAAAAAGTATATCTGTTTGACACAACTTACATCTCTGATTTACCAATGCATGCTACCAAGGGAAGAAATGCTTAAATGAAAGCAGGTATTGTTGGCTAAGCTTCCTAGGGCCTGACAACAAGCTACTGAACCACATTTCAGGCATTATTGCTTCTTGTACCAGGAGAAAAGTTCTTATTATAATCATAACGACGAAGCTACACGAACTTGTAGCTTATAACTAAAGTAGAAGAATGTGGAGTTAACATTGTAGGGGTAGCATCTTTTTTTTTGTCACATACAATCCTAAGTTTGCCTAAACTAACAGTGCAGCTATTCATCAAATTATATAGTATATTAAGCCTGAACTAATTTTCACATGTCCAACTAATCAAATACTCTTTATGCAATATATTAAAGAGAACTCTAGACCAGTTGTTTGAAAACATTTTCCCATAATTTTGATTAATATTTTGATGGCCCATGGTACATGTTCATCACTGCAGGGTTCCCGTAATCTGGATTTATGCTAGTTTCGATTTAGCAACTTCGATATGGGGTTACACCCCTTGTTCAGACAAGGAACTCTTATATAAGGAGTACAAGTACTGTTTGTTTCATTCATAATGAGGTAAATGCATATCAAATCAAGATATTTTTGCGAACGTATATCTACATGAACATAAAAATGTGAGAAAAAAAAAGCAGAAAAATCACCTCATCCAAAATAATACGCTCCCACCGCACTGAGTGTAGAGGTGACTGACCCCTTGATTGGCTCCCCGATCCCCCATCACGTTCCTCAAAATCCTCACCATCACTATCATTTTTCTTCTTTTGGACCCTCCTCTTCGATGTCCCCTTTTTGCTACCCCATTTCCGGCTCTCCTGTTTGGCCTGCTTCTCGGTTCGCTGAGCATCAGGACCACAGTAATACCTCAAATGCACCTTCAGCTTGTTGGGGTAAAACAATTTATCACAGTAGCAGCACCGAGTCTTGGGTGGCATGATGTGCTTCCGGTAGTCCGCCTCGATGGTGGAGTAGGTGGTGATCACGAAGTCGTACTTGTTGAAATCATACTTCTGAGCACCCCGCCGGCCGCCGTGGTACACCAGCACGCGCACGCTGTCTTTGGCCGTGTGCCGCTCGATCTCCTGCGCCCACTGTATGACGGCCACCACGGGGCAGACCACCAGCGTGCATCCCACCCAACGCTTCGGCTGGCCCTGAGATGACGACGCGGCGCGGCGGCGAGGAGGCGGTGCCGGGGGGCGGAGGCGGCGCGCGGTGATGACGAGCGAGATGCCCTGGATGGTCTTCCCCATCCCCATCTCGTCAGCGAGGATGCCACCGCGCGAGGGGGAGGCCTCCTGCGCGAGCGCCCACGCGAGCCACTCCTTCTGGAAGCGCAGCAGCGGGAGCAGCACCTCCGGGGCCGGCTCCGCCGTGGGCACCCCCGCGGCCACGGCGGGGGGAACCTCCGGGTCCGGGGGTTCCTCCCCCTTGGCCGCCGCCTCCCGCTCGTCGAGCCACTTCTCGTTCGCCTCCTCCCACTCCTCCCACGGCAGGGGCAGCTTCCCGTGGCCACCCGCCCCCTTCTTCCTCCCCCCTTGCAGCCGCTTCGGTTGCGGGGGCGGCGGGGCCACCGCCGCAGGAGCAGCAGCAGCAGCAGCCGCGGGCCCCGCGCCATCCTTCCCATCGGACGCGTAGTCGTACTCGTCGTCCGCCGCCTCTTCCTCCTCCGTGTCGGCGACGAAGTCGGAGTCGGCGGAGTCGTCGGAGGCGACATCCCCCACCACCTCCTCCTCATCCTCCTCCTCCTCCTCCTCGCGGGGGCGGCGGCGGCCGCGGCTGGTGGAAGCTGCGATGGAAACGGGAGAAGGACGGGGATTAGGGTTCCTGCAATCCGAGGGGTGGCCAGGGGCTCGGGGGATGACTTACCGGAGGACGCGCCGCGGCGAGGCATGTCGGCGGCGGCGGCGGCGGCGGCGCGAAGGGGGCGGTTTGGTGTAAATGGAAGGGGTTTGGGAGAGGATTGTTTGTGATGATTTAATTAGTAAATTAATAGTGGGGAATCGAGCGGGGTGACAGAGTGGGGTTGGGGAGAGAAATGGCGGGAACTTGCAGGGGAAGGAAGCGTGCTCCAGAAGGAGGTCGGAGGGGTGCGCATCGGACGGAGTGGATAGTCTCTTCGTCTCCCTAATGCTTTCCAACTTTCCCGATCAACGAAGGGGATAGTGAGACATAGGAAAACATAATCCTTCCGTCAAAAAAAAAAAAAAACTCAATTCCTAGGTTTTTTTTCTAACATGTGACCGTTCGTCTTATTTAAAAAATTTTTAAAAGATAAGTTATGCATAAAGTATTATTCATATTTTATCATCTAACAATAATGAAAATACTAATCATAAAAAAATTTCATATAAGACGGACGGTCAAATGTTAGACACGAAAAACGAAGAATTCAGTCTTTTTGGGACGGAGGGAGTAGTTAGCAAATGCACATGAGATAAACATCTCGCGAACATGTTCCGACCTTATAACAAGTGTCAGGTTAGAGTTTTGGATTGAGGTTGGCGAAGAGGCGAGGGTGGTGTTAGAGAAAAGAAAGTGAGGAATCTAGCTTATATGTATAGCCTGAGAGACGGTGGATCAGTGGTGGGTGGCGTGCCACCGCCACTAGAGCCACGGGGTCGGTGACAGGTAATGGGCCGGTGTTAGTGATGGGAGTAAAGAGAGGTGAAGAGAAGGGCAGGAGGCCGCCCGGATAGGCCAGGTGACAGGGTATGACAGTGACAGTGGCAAGAGAAGCGAGGGGTTGAAGCTTACCTAAATTTCCTAAATTTGAGTATCGTTGGAGTAAGAGAGTGAAGCACTAAGGGTTGTTTGGTTCGTGACCACATGTTGCCACACTTTGCCACATCTCAAGTTAGGCAGCTTTGACTAAGTTAGTCAGGCGTTTGGTTCATTGCCATACTTATGGCAAGATTCTTTTTCTAGCACTTTGGTCCCACATGTCATTGTCTCAGAAAAGTATGGCAATGTTATAGATTGCTAGCCAAAGTGTGGTGCTAAATTTGTTCGCCTAACCTTAGGCAAGCTTAGCAAGAAAACTATGGCAACCTTAGACAATGTTAGTATATAAACCAAACAACCCCTAGATCCGCTTCTTGCCGCATCGTTCCCTACACTCCACGGAAATATAGAGAAAAGAGGGTAAGGATAATTTGCGTGGCTGTTGGAGTGGTGAATCGTATATGGGCTTTTTTGTTGCAACGTTCGCTGCTTGATGGGCTTAGGTATGTGCGCACACTTGACCCACCCTATGTACCTCCATTAAAAAAAGACATAGGGGGCTTGTTAGTTGTCTTTTTATGGTTAAATCCAACTAAAAAATGGCACATCAAAACTTTAACATCGGTTTGGTTGTTTAAAAAATTGGCAATCCCTAATTATTTGGCCTAGTTCAATACCTAAATATAAATTTGTCAAATAAAATAAAAAGCTAGCCAAAAAGATTGATAATGCCAAATTTTGCCATTGCCAAAAAATTTTGCAATGTTACAAGTGGCAAAGAACTAAACAATCCCTTGATTTTCAGTGTTCTAATTAAACTAACCTCTTACCTAGTTAGTCAAGTTTTATCCCTTTAATACCTACTACCTCACAATACAACTTTTATTAAGGCTCACTTTAGCTTTTCTTTTCTCTCACCACTGGTTTATCAACCAATGGCTAGAAATAAGTCTTATTGTAGAATTTATATATTTCTTATTGTAGAATTTTAATACCTCCTCGAGATACCTAGTAACTAAATGTAAGGGATTAAGTGGATCGACCCGTGAATCCACTTATAGGCGAGATAAGTGGGTAGGTACTAAGTTTTACAAACAGAGTTATTTAGATTCTTCTTAACAATGGTAAAATTAACCCTAATAATAACCTTGAGTCATGTCAACAATCTATACATTTTTTTAACTCCTTTACAATATCATCCTAATAGAACCAAATGTGCCATATATAGGTAAGGTAATTTGTCGGAAAAAAGGACAATTTTGTTCTTACCCCTATTTTAATGTTCGATATTAATTTGCTCCTGTTTTTTTAGCTTTTCGCTTTCGTCCCTGTTTTTTAAATAAAGTAGACGTTTACCCCTATTTTTGATAGAAGTTAGTGGATATGAGATTGTTAAGCTAAAGAAGTAAAAAAATATTGGTTATTTCATTCGTTAATTGACCTTTGTACCCCTGATGATTTTGCCATAGCAATACGATATTCACGGGGTCCTTTTTGCCTTCTACAATCACTGTCCCCAAACCTATGGGTTACTACCTCCGTCCCAAAATAAGTGCAGCTGTGGATATCCGTGCCTAACGTTTGACCGTCCGTCTTATTTAAAAATTTTGTGAAAAATTTAAAAATATTTAGTCACACATAAAGTACTATTCATGTTTTATCATCTAATAGCAATAAAAATACTAATCATAAAAAATTTTCAAATAAGACGAACGGTCAATCATTGAACGTGAACAGTGCAAAACTGCACTTATTTTGGGACGGAGGGAATACAACAATAGTAGCTCGGCTAGGTGCCTAGATAGTGGATAGGAGCTAGGCGACGATGGGGGCTAGGCTAGGTGATGGCTTCGTGCGAGAGTGGCCTAGCCAAACGGCAGCTCCGCGCAAGGAGGAGGAGGCGGTGGTGGCTCCACTTGGGTAAGAGCAAGGATAATAATACAGCCAGCTGCTTACTTATAGCCTATCTATCAGCTCACTCATATAATGGTTAACTCTTCATTATAAATATATGGTCTACCTGTCTGTCTCACATATTTTCTTAGTTATTGTGCCTAAGCCGGCTGTAAACTTATAGTCCGCTTCTCATCTCTCTCCTCTCCTCTCTCATCCACATCAGCATTCAGCCTTCTTATAGCCCTCTATTATATTTGCTCTAAGAGGAGGTGACGGCAGCGGCCCGCCCAAGTGGCGGCTCCGCACGAAAAGGAGGAGGCGACAACGGTGGCTTGGCCAACGAGGAGTAAGGCGAGTAAGCTAGGCCGATGGTGAGTAGGGCGAAGGGGTGGTGCACGCGGCGGTGAGCATTGATGACCCGGCTTGGCTGTGAGCAGGCAGCAAGGAGGAGTTGCTTGATTTTGTCATTTGGATTTGCTTGTCTTTGTGATGTTTGTAGCTTGCTGTATGTCTTCTAATTATGTAAAACACGTATCGAAATTGTGCCCAAATTATGTTATTTTTTTAATATATGTCTAATACATTTTTATCAATTTTGTGGCAAAAGTTTGTCATATTTGTAAAAATTTGTCAAAATTGCAATATGCACGTACAAAATAGGGGCAAATACACAATTAATGAACTAAAATAAGGGCAAATGTGCAACAACAAGTAAAGGTATGAATGTCTTTTCTATATATATTTAACACCGTTATTCCGTTAACATGTGTATCCTAATTAGGGGTACAACTTATGCTTCCTTACGGGTAAAAACGAAACACCCCCCCCCCCCCCCAAAAAAAAAGAGAGCAATTGGCTATGTAAAGCCCAATGACATAATATGGCCCAATTACGTAAAGCCCAAGTGAAGAAACCGGACTGTGCTGGGCTTGAATTCTGTTTGGTTTTTTCTAACTGATTTTTCGGCCTCCTCGTCTCCAGTTTGTGATGAGCAAAAACAGACTGGAAAATTCTGGTTTCATGGTCTTAATTTCTTCACTTGTTTTATTTAACGACCATTTCCCCCCATCACGCCGTGTCTCTTTACAATTTTGTTTTATTCTTGTTCATAAATATGGTAGGTGACGGTGGACATGGCCTCATTCTTTTACTGATTTTTTCTGACGAGCTTTGCACTGCATGGGAGATCGTCGATCTACTTGATTACTCTGCATAAATGTACGCGTGCATTCACCAATCTGACCTGACTAGCTAATCAGTTTGCTCCCAAAGAATAGCAGAGAAAAGGCTAAAAACAACTGAGCTTTATAGCGTCCGACATTAAAGTATGGATTGATCCGGAAATATTGTGTACTCATGAATGCAAAGGAGTCGTAATTTTCCAGCAAAAGGCCATGAACAAATTAAATAGTTTACGGAGCATGCAAGAAATGCACACAGTGACCAAGATCATGATATATATTCAGATTGTACGCAGTACTGCAATGCAAGCTACCTCAAATTGAATACTTTAGCATGGACAATGCCCAAACTGTACTCCGAATATTACACTTGAATAGTACGGTTTACTATTATTAGACTTTGCATCTCTTTTACGTAGATTATTATTACATGTAGTTGGAGTTTTATCCAATCAACGAGACGAAGAACTTTTGAGTTCGCCCTAAGTACAGGACAGCAATAATCACCACCAATTAGACACCCCCTAATTCATAGACAAACCACACGATTGCACACTAATACTGAATACCATAAGCTTCTTTAATTTTTAGGAAAAAAGAGTGTTTAAACACTAGCAGACCGTGCGTGCGCCACGTCGATGTCTTAACGTCCGCCGCCACCCGCGCCACCACCAGCACCGGCACCACCACCAAAACCAACGCCAACGCCGACACCAACGCCGACGCCGAAGCCGCCCCCACCAAGGCCGCCGCCGTGCCCGAGTCCGCCACCTAGTCCACCGCCATGGCCAAGGCCTCCTCCAGCACCACCACCCAAGCCACCACCGGCGCCACCGCCTCCGCCTAGGCCACCGCCACCGCCTCCGCCTAGACCGCCGCTGCCGCCTTGACCAGCACCTCCGCCAGCTCCACCACCGAAACCTCCACCGGCGCCACCACCCATTCCACCTCCTCCGCCGCCACCCATGCCGCCGCCACCACCACCACCAAGACCGCCGCCTCCGCCAGCGCCACCTCCCATGCCACCGCCGGCGCCAAACCCTCCACCTTTGCCCCCGCCGCCTCCAAACCCGCCACCTCCACCGCCGCCCATTCCGCCGCCTCCGCCCGCTCCACCGCCAACACCACCACCAGCTCCAAATCCTCCTTCCTTGCCACCTCCACCACCAAGCCCGCCACCACCGTCTCCTCCAAAGCCACCACCGCCTCCACCGCCAAGCCCGCCTCCCGTACCACTTCCACCGCCGACACCACCACCGGCTCCAAAACCACCGCCTTGACCACCTCCACCACCAACCCCTCCGCCGCCACCTCCTCCAAGGCCACCACCACCTCCGCCTC